CAGCCTCTCGCTCATCCCCTCCCGCTCACCCACAGGATCCCCCGGGCGCGGGGCCGGGGCGGTCGCTGTCAGAAGCCCTGAGCGCATCTCTGGTGGGTGATAGCAGTGAGAGCGATGCCCTGCGGTGCTGCGATGGCCGTGATGGTGGAAGCTGTGGGACACACCAAAGGHTGAGGGGTGCGTTCAAGCCCGCCATCCCAGCCTGCAGGATGCTCCTGAGGGAAGGCTGAGCTGGCTGCCTGTTGTCTGAGGTGAGGAGCAGGTAAGGGGCAGGCCGAGCACGGCACTGACCAACCCCACACTCCTGGGGCTGCAGCACTGCCCGTGGCTATCACCACGGCACAGAAATCTTTAACTTCACATAATCACAGAGCTGCACACTGAGGTTGCAAAGGGCCTCCAAGACCATCAAGTCTAAACTTAGTTGACTGCCTTGTCAACTAAGCCAGAGTGCAAAGTGCCACTCCAGTCATTTCTTGAACACTTCAGGGATGGTGWCTCCAYCACCTCCCTGGACCGCTTGTTTCCAATGCCTGACYACCTTTTCTGTGAAGAAAATCTTCCTGATTTTCTTCAGGAAAAGCCTGAAGAAAAGGCCAGGTTCCAGCCTGAACCTCCCTTGGCACAGCTGGAGGCCGTTTCCCCTGGTCCTGTCACTTGTTTCCTGGGAGAAGAGCCTGATCCCCACCTGGCTACATCCTCCTGTCAGGGAGCTGTAGAGAGTGATGTCCCCCCTGAGCCTTCTGTTCTTCAGGCAGAGCTCCCACAGGTCCCTCAGCCACTCTTTGTGCTGCAGAGATGAAGCTTCCCTACTAACCATCTGTTTCAGACAAAAAAAAAAAGGCAAGACTTTTGTTTTGGAAGCTGAGGTTTTTCAAGTTGCTGCCTCTCCTTGAGTTAGAAGTGGAAAAAATGTCAGAGTTAAAGTTCAGGAGAATAAATCAGATTCCCTGAAGCTTAAAATTAAAAACAAGGGATCAGTGGTCTTTCACAGCTTTTAATCAGTTTTTATGTGTATACAAAGCTCTTTGAGATCAATAGAATTTGTCTGAGTAAGCAGAGTAACAACCRAAACAGGAATTCTGAATGTGTCTTAACACAGTTCTGCAGTCAAGAATGAAAATCTGGGTAAAACTCTTACACATAATTACASACTTTTACATATAATTACAGAATCCTTAGTTGTCTGATTAGGTTGAGCTTTGAGAAGATTTGAAAGCATACTGCTTTAATGCATCGAATTTCAGAAATCCTCATTTTCTTGTGAGTAATGACGCAATGGTAAACATTTTCCAAAAGTAAAAGAAGTTATTCTATTTCTATTTATTGSCAGGATTTTTCTAAGAATTTTTCCWTTTAAATGTGCACTTAAAATGTAATACTTGCACCTTATGTTCAAATARTCAGGCTTGGTTTTGCAGTTCTGTTCTGGAGTGCTGCAGACCTGTAACATAATCTTTGACAGACRAAGTGTTTCTAATCCCTCCAGAGGTTTCATATCATGCAAAGTTCCCTCTGCTTCCTGGTATTTACTCTGTACACTGAACACCTTAGGCCTTCATGGGAAAAGATTGTTACTGTTGTCCCGTGAGAGTGCAGAGTGAGATTGTGGGTTATTTCCTACATGACACAAATCTGTATTTGTTAGAGTGAAAGCTGATTAGATGCTGCTTTGGTGCATCAAGAGGATAATCTGAAGCCAAGTGTGCCACATGTTTGATTTACAGATAAATTGCCTCTGTGGAATAGTAACTGAGAGCAGGTTTCTTATGTCTCTCCTTGTTCTGGAGCACTGTGCCTGTATGGATATTTCAGCCCTAGTCACAACAATGCTTCAGGAGTGCCTCTGGGTTCAAATGACAATTTAAAAAAAAAAAAAAAGTTACAGGAAATCCATTATGACCATCCTCATATTGTGCTTACACATAGAAATGAATTAGGTCAAGACTTTGGATGCCACATAAACAAAAGGCACTTCCCAGCCCAAAGTTCAGTTGCAGAGAACACATGGAGAGCAAAACGATTTAAAGACACAGGCTGAGGCCATTGTGGCCTGCCTATTGCAATCCCAGTTGAGATCAACACTCACASTTCAACACCAGCCTCGCACGCAAGACAAATGCCAAGTTAAGCCTTGATTTATTAAGGTCTTGAAGMCACATGAACTTCCATAAAACAGGAAGGCTAGGTAATGAACTGGGAGCTCCAGCTCTGCAGGTACACGAACACTACTGCATTCAAATGCCAGACATGTCAACTTCTTTCCCTTCTCCACACTAAATAATTCATTGGCTAGTGGGTTTGAGGAAAATGAGATTGGTATTTAAGTTATGTGGTGAGGTTTGCCCTAGTGAGTAATACAGGAATATGTATTTTTATGGTTACTAATGTCAGGCCTWGTCAGTTTAGAAAAGGGACTGTGTAATACTACTGTACCTGCAGAGAGCTGGATTCAATTCCAGGCCCCTTTCAGAACTGATGCATCAGTTCTGGGTTTGATTTTCCATTTTAGTGTTCAGTGTAGTATTGGCCACCCACAGGTGCTCCAGGAACAAAGGGTGACTTGTCACAGAGCAATGAGCCTGTGAGGCAGATTTATAGATATACATAGATATAGATATATAGATAGAGATAGAGATAGATGATATAGCATCAGCCCGTTGTGGGGCAGCAACAGCAAGAGTATCTCCATCCCCTTTCCAGGAGGTTGGCATTCACAATGAAACATTAATCATTTCTCATCCTTCTGTGTCTGGAGGCTCTGAGCAGTTGCAGCAGGCACAAAGAATCCTCTGCTTATGTTGCCTACTGTGTCTCTAGGAAATCATTAAGGGACTGTGTTCATGGGGGTGAATTGGAATGGCATTTGCACTGTTAGCTCATTCATTTYAGATCTCTGTCCACTCCATCAAGTCACTCAGAGTTGTCTATACCTTTTTTGGATAGCATGTGTCAGCATTGTAGTGCATTAGCATTGGGAGCAGTTGAAGCAAAAGATGAGCTACAGAAAATCAAATCCTAATATAGTCTTCAGTTCTACTTTTGAAACAAGTCCAGTTCCTTGCATGCAGATTTGACAAACTTTCAGCTTTTGTTGGTTTTCCTCTGCTCACTTTTTTCTTTGTTATATTTTTTTTTATCTACTGTCCCCTTTCTTCCCTTTTGTTGCAACTTCAGATGCTTTTTCACTGATAGGTTTCTCTTTGATGCTTCCAAACAGCTGAATCGGGATCTGAAGTCAAGTATAAATCTTCCTGAACTTCAAAGAGCTTGAAATCAAGTCTTTGGTTTAAAAAAGCTCCTGTCATGTTTTCAACAATATCCATTTTAAAGGTAGTGCATGTTGCAAGTGATGGCACCAAACCCTTCACACCTTATAGGATATGGAGTTGGAACTAGAGTCACATCTGTAGTCCAAGAGCTGGCCAAAATAGGGAAATGATATAATGGTAAAACTCTTCTTCAAGAATCTGAAACCAAGTCCAAATATTAATGACATTCTTGCCCTATGAGTTAAGGAAGGATCGTTATCCCATTTCACAGATGGGTGAAATCTGAAGCAAGGTGACGAATTTAGTCAGTGGTAGATCGAGGAATGGAACCATTTCTCAACCTCTTGGTATGTGCTCTAGCTCAGTGTGTACCTACACACTGACATTGCTTTAGGTTTGCACTTAAATACAAAATTGTTTGGCTAACAAGAAAGTAAGTATTTCAATATTCATTTAACAAGCAAGAAAAAGTACTCGGGGCAGACAAAAATGGAAAGGAAAACCAAAGCTGCCAGAGACTCAGCCTGAAAGGAATGAAAATAGTACTTAGCATCTGCAGGAACAAATCTGTCTCTGGCTGGCACTAGGCAGTTCCAACCCAAGGTGTCCTGGTGGAGTTCTGGTCAAGGGAAAACTTGGCCTGGAGAATACTTTGCTTAAGAATGGATAAGGTTCTTTTGGAATGGATAAGGTGGGCAGTGACATTGGAGTGAATGAATAGCTGCTTCTAGGAAAAAAAAAAAAAAAAAAAAA